GAGAGAGAGAGAGAGTGACGGAAGTGAGGCGGTCTCTTACCACAAACGTGAGCAGGAGCTTCATGTTAGCCGTGTGATGTCAGGGCGATGAGTTGAGCATCTGCCCGGAGACATTTCGACCTTTTATACTCCGGAGTTCTGCTCCCCCCAAGACGATCTTCCTCCGCATGTCGCAATCCGGTGGCATTGGCAGAACTAGATTTTTTAATTTACTCCATCACAGCTTCTCTCACTTGCTCATTCTTTGACACTGTTCCCCGAAATCTCCGAATAGAAAAATATACGAACATTTCAACAATGTTATTCTCGCCGTTGTCCATTGTCAATTTCTAAGAGAGACGCCCATCCTTCAATGAGCATTCAGTTAAAACCAATTCCAATGAAAATGATCTTGATGATTTATGCAAATGCATTACGCCAGTCCGACACTTCGCGGATTTTTGCGAGTCCGTTGGCCTTTCGCTTCTTCCTGTTTTTTTTCTCTTTCCTTCGAGATACAGTTCAAATCGCGCTCGTATATCTCCAACATTTGACATTATCGCCGAGAGAAACGTGGGAGGCTTTTAAAGGATGAGCGGCAAATTTTCGTAAGGTTTAATGGACTTCATTGCATTTCGATCGAATCGATTGCTGTCTCAATCCTTTGATTACTCGTTGATGTATTTTCCTTGTCGACTGACTGGATGCTGTACACTCTTAACAGTATTTTGATATACTGAGTAGATTGTGTATCCGGCTAAGTGATGATTAGCCCACTTCGTGAAAAAGCTTTGACAAATTGATATAATTAATGATTTGATAAACGACTTACCCTCGTATTACTTTTGCTTTCATATTGAAAAAATAAAAATAATAAAAACGAGAAAAAGTCAAACATTTCAGAAAAGTAATAAAATAAAACAAAATTTATTATACATGTTTATAATAAAAAACATTCTGCAATTGTAACAAAAAAGAAATTTTAGGTGATATGTTTTCATATAACAAATTTATTTCAAATTTCTAAAAGTTTTTAATTCTCTTTTGAAAGAGCAATTAATTAAAAAATACAAACTTTATTTACCAGATATAAATCAGTCTCTGACAATTAAAAATATGTATTTTTTTATTTTTAAATAATAAATAAATGTATCTAATTTTTTTTTTTGAAACAATAAATATTTTATTTTATTTTAAAAAATAAAAATGTAGGTATTTAGTTAATGGAACATTTATTTACGCATATATAATATATCCTGTTGATTTTACTTTTTGAATTAATTTTTATCTTTGAAATACTTTTAATAATAAATTAAAAAATAGGGAAAATAGGGTAAATTATTTGAATAAAAACTAATATTAAATTAAGAGAAAATTCTGGAGTAACATTATGCTTATATGTTAACTAATAATGTATAAAATACCGTTTCCATTTTATGTATCATAGATGCCTTGACATTTTCGTTGAAAAATAACGATTAGCAATCGATCAAAGAATCTATTATAAAGAGCATTTCGCGGTTTTAAAACGTTCTCATATAAATTATACTAAAATTAAAATGTATAACAAATGTATAACAAATTATATTCTTAACATATTGATTTCAAATAATTAATTTAATTATAATAACATATTATAATATATAAATATTGTGTTTCTTAATAATTTATAAATTCCGAAAAGAATATTATAAAACATGCTGATTAAATTTAATTATTTAGAAATAATTAATAATTAGTAAAAAGTTTATAAATTACAAGGATAAAGAAAGGCTTAAAAATGCGGAAAGAGCAATTAATTCGTTTGATGACTCTCTGTTTCATCTGAAAGAAATCTGAAAGCAAGCTTGCGAATTTATCAAAATGTCGCTGGAACAAGGCCGTTGCTTATAAATTGATTATTTTATGACGAAGACTTTTAAAATTTCTTTTGCAATGTGCACCGAATTACACACTCTATTATAACTATACACAAATATACAAAAATATACAAAAATAATAATATTTATAATAATATTTATTGCGTAATTATTCATATAAAAATTAATTTTTTATTATAATTCTGTGATCCTTCTATTTTATAGCTATTTTTCGTAACTTAAACAAAATATGTAGATAATAATCATATATAGATAATAAATTTTTGATGATGATAGTTTCTAATAATTATATTTTTTTAAAATTAAATTTTATTTTCTATCCTTTAAAAAAAATTCATTATTTTTTTCAATTAAAGGATTAATATTATTTAAAATAATATTAAACTATGCAAAAATACCTTGAAAACTTGAGAAATTAATTGATAATTAAAAAATTAAACCGAAGAAAGTTTAATATAATTTAATTTTTTTGTTTACCGTCCATATCTTAATTCATTTGCAAATGAGAGCAAATGTGGGAGAAGAACTTGCCTTGAATAAGAAGATTAGCTGGTGTGTGACTGGCATATTCGGAGGATGCGCGTTTAAAGGATGTCAAGTAAAAATCGATATACGCTTCCGAATGCATTTTGCATAAACCCGCCAGAGGGTTAATTGACACGATCGGGTGGTCCTGAGTGAAAATGAGATGATAAGATGATAAAGACATTAAAATTTGCTATGGTCGGCGTGACGCTTCGATCTTCTTCTTTAATCTTCTTCCTCAATCATTTTCGATTTTTCTGGACTTGAAAATATGAAAGTAAGTGGCATACATACAAGTAAAGTACATTTTACACGATTTAAAATAAAAAAAATGTGAAATTAAAAATTTGATTTCTCATATTTGGTTTGAAAAGATTTTTATGTACAGATGTAATGTATGTGAAAAGCTATATAGCTTTTTATAGCTTTTTACCGTTATACAAAACTGTTGTTTAACATAAAGTAATTTATTATTATATATATAAATATAATCCATATTTTTTAATTTAATGAACACTCGACATTTAATATATTTAATATTATAGAATTTTTTTTATGTTAGAAGAATAATATATTAACAAACATGCATTAAATTTTATCTTGAGTTTAAAAAAGCATTAAAGATTGTGTAACTTGTTCTTAATGAAATTCTGCAAAAATAAAGAAAAATTTTATCGGCATAAAGATCGCTGTTCGAGATGCATCCCTTGACATCCCCCAACTGAAATTCGACATGCGTTAATCATCGCCGCAAGATTGGGCGTTTCCATAACGGATAACCACATTAATTCAAGGCTTTGAAATCTTTTCTCATCTTTTTTCTCACATTAAGGACAGTTCTGGCATAATCCATATTACTCAACTCATTAAACTTATCGATTACTTAACCTTCTTTATATGAATGTCTTTCCGCTATTTTGTTATACTACGTGTTTTTTTTACAAAAGAACAATACTAAAAAGGAATACAATATAAGGATGTATACAACTATAATTAAAATAATTTTTAATTTAAACTGTGCAAAAATAGCTATTTATTTTCTTCAATAAGTAATTAAGAAAAATAAAAAAATTAAGAAAATTTGGACGACAATAAATAAAAACACATCTTTTCTCTAAATACATGTTTGTATATTAATTTTACACGGTGGCTTCTTCGTATACAAACGAGAAGAAGTATTTCCATAGAATCGATCGGCCAAGCTACATCTTTTACGATCGAACAGGCAAAGATAACCACGTAACCTTGACGGCAACTCATCTTGACCAAAACTCGTGATATTTTGATCGCATCCGGTCAAACTCGTTCAATAAAAAGGAGAAGATGAAAAAAATATTATGGTACTTTCGTATTCTTAACTAATTAATCTTAATTCTTTGGGAAGAATTTCATAATTGAAGACTTTATCTCTTCAGACTATTTCGAATCCAGATCTTTAGTTCTATCTATATTTATTTTTAAGAAATAAATATGCAAATTTCGAAAGAAGAATTATTAAAATTTATGAATATTTATGTATAAATTTGATATAATATAATTATTAATTAATTGATATATGACATTGATATTAATTGATATATAACATAATAATTTCAAAACTTATAATAAATAAAACTAGTGAAAAGCTATGCAAATGTATTGTTATATCTTACGTTCTTTATTAATTTCCGCGTCAAAGTAAAAAGATTTGGATCATTGTGATATTTATTTCTAAGTTATGTTTCAATAGTGCACGGTGGTGCATACCTCAATGTAAACTGTTACACAATCCATTACATCGTATCGAGATGTCGCGTAGACATGTGAAAGTATTAAGAGGGATATGTAAATCGAGAAATCGCAATCAGCTCGCGCGGTCAAACCGGCATAATGAGAATCAAAAAGACTGGGTTGTGCAAGACAGACACTTAACGGGTACACAACGGGATTTATCACAAAGACGACATAAAGACGATTATTTTTTAAAAGGCAACGTAAAACACGATGTAAGAACGCATCAATAATATTGTCGCTTGATTCTTTGTCAACAAAATGAGATCTGAACTTTCACTTTATTTAGCTTACTTCAAACTTTTGTCCAAAAGTTGTACATTAATATCCTTCAAAACACATTGATTCACTTTGACTAATACAACATATTTATGAAAGAGCTCCAGCAAAAATTTAAAAGCATAATTTTTAGCTGCTTTCATTGCTTATATTGCATGTATGTAGACAGATAAAAACAATTAACAGATGAAAGATTATTTTACTTACTTTTGTACGCAGAGTTAATTAATGATTTAATAATAATAATTAAAGATAAAACGGCTAACACATTATTTCTCCTGCTTAAGAAAATCTTCGAGTGTATAATTTTATGTATGATTACATACAATGTTATATATGTAATTTCTATACTTAATGTTTTTGTTTTTGTTTAGTTATTTATCAAAGTATTGTAATCACTACGTTAGTTACTACCTCGTTTTAATTATTCTTAAATTCCATAAACCGTTTTAATATGTTACAATAAATTTGTTAACACATTTCTTAATGATATATTAATTAATCAAGACTATTTTCTTAAGATTACGGTGCCATCTATACAGATAATAGCAAACATTCTGTTAATTACGCCTGTGCGCACATTTCTTGTAATACGCTGGTGTGTTAACATTGCCTATTATTAGGAGAATAATTGTTAACTTCAATTACATTGTAAAATAACATATATATATTAAAAGATTTATTTAATTAGAATATTAAAAGTTTATTAAAAATTAATAATTAAAATTATTTTTTTAATTAAATTTATTTTTTCAAGTTGTATTTTATATACATTAAAATAAATTTTATCATAATTATAATAAAATTTGAAATTATAATAAACAAAGTTTTAATATAATATTTAAGTTCCTTAATTTTTTGATATCTAGCAATTTTAGATAAATAATAAATATTAAATAAATAATGTAATTAATGCAAATAATTTTAATATAATTATTCAATTTTACATAAATTATTGTAATAATAAAAATAGCTCTTTATAATAATATTTCTTTCTATTGTTTCTACTAAATAAAAAATAAATTAAAATGTCTTCATTATAACTAATTATAACTTATAATTATATACTAATCTTATAAATTATAATCTTTACCATAACTTAGTTTAAAAGATTATGCATTAGTGCATGTATAATTTATTTGAAAGAAAAGAAAATTTTAATTCTCAGAAGAAAATTTTACATAATTGTGATGAGAAATATTAACTCGATTATAATAACATATTTTATTTATTACAGGATTTTTTTATTATTTACATAAAAAACTGTTCTTTTTTTCTAAAACTTTTAATTTTACTGTGAATTATAAGTAATATTTATTGTTCAACGAGGAATTATGTTTAAACTTATCAAACTCTAAAACATAATCTGTTTAATTATAAGTCAATGTAGATAACGCTGCTCATATATTTCATGGCTTTCTCCTGCTTTGCTGAAAAAGCAGCTTAAGTAAAATGTTATTCTTTTACTAAGCCTTTGTTCTGCAACATGTTCGAACTATAAGTGAAGGTAGGAAGTAATATCTTTTCTCCCATACACTCACTTCCGTGTAACAGTCTCTGTGAGTTTAAATTTTATTATATTAATCTAATTTTAATTGCTTATATGATTAATATTTTATCTTATGCAATTAAATCGAATATATTAAATTAAATTAAATAAAATAATAGATCGCTTATAATAATTTTTGATAACTTTATTATTAAAAATAATTTAAATGCCTAAATAGTAAATAATTTAGTTCTTAAATTGTTCGATTAATGTAAAATAATTCAAAATGCTAATGTGATACCCGCATCTATACATTTTATAATCGTCAAAAAGAGTGGAAAAAGAATTTGAAGAAATCGAAGATTTTGAAGAAATAATTTTTAAAGTTTTTGTTATACTACAACATGCTTGCGTCATTGTAGAATTAATAAAAATAATTTAATGCAGTGAAATTGTATCAGATTCGTATGTTAAAGCGAAGCTTTAGAATAAAAAAGACAATAACCGGTTCGACACAAAGCAAAAGTAAAATTATTTGTACAATCCTCTCTTTCTCCGCTCACTTTCAATGAAAGTCGGTAAATTCATCCACTGAGACTGTTCATAATAACAAGATGCCGATGCATAAATTGGAAATTAACGTCTATACTTTTAATTTGCTTTACATAGATAAATATGCGGATGCGTTCAAATTGTTTACGTAATCTAAATATGATTTATCAATTGGGGCCGATAAATTAAAATATTTAATTATTAACTTAATTAATTAATTTTGTTTATTTAAACACATTTGTAACATAGTGATAAAAATATAATATGTTTTTATATTTATGTTTTATATTTATTAATTTTATTTGTTTATATCTGATTTAATTTCATTCTTCAAGGTTTTAGCCGTTTTGTATTTATTTGTATTGTGATTTTAATTTTGTGACTTTTTTTTATTGATTTTATCTTTACATCTTAGTGCAGATATTGTTAATATATATAATCTTCTATAATTTTTTTCTATGAATAACTCTTAATGTGCATAAATAATATGCATAAATATTCACTGGAGAAAGTACTTGTTTCTCTATACTTACTAATAAATTAAGTAAATGCAATAAAATAATCTTGAAATCAGACTTGATTTAGTGCTTAATTATTATTAACTGAATATATAAGTAAGTAACTAAGTAACAGTTATTGATAAATTATCGTTAAATATAATAAAGTTATTTATAAAATTATACTATAACGAATGATAATTTAAAATTAATATTATTTATCTGTGTGAGTTAATTGTGTTATATACATTTAAATATATTTATTAAACAATTTTTATCAACAAGATTTTATCGAATAACACAAATTTTAAAAACAATAAAATTACATTAATTCTGAATATGTCAAAATTTTTAAAGAATGTAAATTAAAAAAATATGTGATTTAAAATAACATATGTTGCATTAAACGTATTAAAAAGGAACTAATAAAAGAAATTAAAAGAAATTAAAATTTACGTTAAGATATATTAAGAAAATAAAGTAGATCAATATATTTATAAATTATTAAAATTTGTTTTAAAGAATGCCTTTCTTTTTCAGTGGACTAGTTAAACGATATAAATGTTTATTTTATTGACAATGAACTTGTGTACTTCTTTACGAAACAAATGTATACTTATGATATTTACTATGGTGAATGCCCAAGTGGAAACTGATGAACCAGATTGTAGGCTCTTACTTTGCGCTGCCTTTCAGTATTCAGTCCTTTCACTCTCGTTTGCATTACATTATTCAGCTTTTAAGAAGATATTAGTCGCACATTCTCTATATTAACATACCGGAAATTGAAATATAAGTTGTAGGTCGAAATTATTACTTCCTATGTAAGTGCTTTTCGCCTTTCGCGTGGGATTATCTAGCGAGAAACTGCAATCACTTACGATGTATCGACGAACCACCCGTTCTCTTCTATATACAATCTTTTTAAATGTATAACTATATAATAAATACTATATAATAAATTTCTATTTTGCAATATATATTAATTAATCTAATTTTTGAAATATAAATATATATTTTATATACAAATGTATTTTTAAAAAGTTTTATGTATTTTATTTATATGATATTTAACATAATATCTAAATAATATATATTATATTATTACTATTATAAATGAAGAAACAATGTGAATACAATGTTGAACTTTCCATTGGCGAGGGTGTGCCTCTTCGTGATTGTCGTGACTCTCGATCTCCAGTTTACGTTGAGATCTCTTACCTTCCTGTCCTTTCTTTCCATTACGCCCATCGGATTCGTCGGCTGGGCCGTTGAACTCACTTAGTCAGAGAGGCGAGAGGCCTAATCGCAAAAAGGAACAATCGCAAAAAGCGGAGAAGAGGAGACGATATCGACGGCGAAAGAGATCGGCCAGTCGGAAAGAGAGTGAGTAAGTGTTTTCTTCGTGGTGAACCGATCCCCATGGTGAAGGTCCTTATATATAAGCCACCGTGTAAGTTATAATAGTCAGTGCGGAAACATCATTCGATCTCGATCCAGAACTACCAAGATGACGATCATACAAGTTGTAAGTTTCCATTGTGGGCGGAAGTTTTTCAGAAGCATGGAAAATATTTCAGGATTGTTGCATTTCTTCATTTCCGGATCGTAACATCGGTTTAGTGATACGTGTGATAGTGGTCTCGACAAACCTCTTGGGAGTTTAAGAACGCGTGAAATAATTTTACTCCGTACGAACAATGGTACTCCGAGATTTTTCAGTCGGAATAAAACCGCTTGACTCTGTTGTTATATTTAACTTGAAAACATAAATGATCGTGAAACACAAACTGTGATTAAAAATTTGGGCATTAAAATATTTTTCGTTATTGCGGTAACTTAGAAATTGTAATTACGTTCTTAAAAGATAAAAAATTTAGGATTTTGAATAATAAATAAATTAGAAATATTAAAGCTATTTTTATATCAATATATTATAGCTATCATTGTCTATCATTTATTAAAATTAAATGAAAATTAATAATTATTTACCTAAGCATAAATTTTGGTTTATTATTTGACAAGATTTATTTAAACTTTGATCATTGAAATTTTCTAGGAATTTTTTGTAATTGCTATAATTTCATGGGTACATATATCCAACTGCTAATTATCTGTCAAACGTGTCGGTTACGCTTTCATGACATTTAAGATATTACATCTTTGCAGGTTTTACTCATGCTGGCGGCGATGGCGGTCACGGCGAGACCCTCGTTCCACGAAGGCCACGGTTTTCTTCATGGGGCAGATGAGCCAAAACTCATCTCGCAATCGGTACATTTGCACGAGGTGCCGACCAAAGTCATCAAGGTTACCAAGACGGTAGCCATCAAGGTCCCCGTGCCATATCCCGTTAAGGTAAGCAACTTTCTGAAAAAATGAAAAGCTCGAGAGTTAATTAACAATCAAAAATAATAAATAATTAATTCAATATTATACAAACATTTAATTTTGTTATTTAAGGAATGAATGTCGAAATCCAAGATAAATGCTGTAAAAAATCATGATACTAAGTTTGTAAATTGATGCTTATAAATTAAAAGAAGAAAGTAAAACGAAAAGCAGAATAAAAGTAATAAAAAATTTTGTTTTACAATAAATTTAAATAATTATTAAAAATGAGAATCTCAGAATATCTTCAAAAATTTTAATTCAAAAATCTTATTTAAACAACTTTTTTCTTAAGTAGATACTTTCCGAGTATTATAACTTTAAAATTAATTTTACACAATTATTTATTTCTACATTTATTTTAATATTAAAATTATTTATATAGGTTACATATGGCTAATAAAAAAAAACAATTTATAATATTCTAATATTAAAAAATAAATATTGCAAATTTTTGAAATTTTCTTATAAATTGCAATACACAAATGCTCAAGCTGTACAGACTGTTTATGACTTTCTTTGTTATTAGGTACCTCATCATATTCCATTTCCGGTACCAGTAAAACATCCCGTGGCGGTACCAGTACCGCAAATAGTGAAAGTGCCGCAGCACGTGCCAGTGCCGGTGGAGAAGCCAGTTCCGGTGGAATTGCACCAGCAGGTATTCATTGTTAATTAAAATACAGTAATATTATAATATAATATAATATAATACAAATCTATGTAAAATAGATGATTATATATTTATTTATTCGCAATGCAAAAAAAACGCAGTGCAAAGAAATTTTTAAGATACATAGAATTGTACGGAGACCTTATTTAAAATTATTTATAATTTTTATATTTTATACTTATACGCTACAAGTAAATAAAAATTGTCTTTTTAGTTCTGTGCAGTAGAAAATAAAGAAAATCATGATAAATATTTTTTCGATATTGAAATTCCGATAAATACTACTTACACTTCCTACATGTTTCTTCTTTAATTATATTTAATGACTGATTCTAGAACTGTAAGTATAGCCAATTAAATTTAATTCAGGTGCCATTGCTGGTATCTAAACCGGTGCCTGTGCCACATCCGGTGCCTGTACCACATCCAGTTACTTTGACCAAGCCAGTCTTCGTCCCAATACCGAAGGCGATCCCGATCCCACAATCGAGTCACGATGAAGGTGGTATTTCCGCTGGAGCTGTGGCTGGAGGTGATCATGCCAGCCACGAGACGACCAACTACAGCACTTATACCATTCAAGGCCATGGAGCCTACGACCATGGCGGTGATCAGCAGGCCCAATTCCAGTCATCCCAGCCCGACTACTCGGCGGATCATTAGCTTTCGAAATGCGACAGGTCGACTGATTATGGCGGTGTGCGAGATCCGTATGGCTAAAAGGAAAAGTAAATCGAGAAGTAAATCACCGGCGTATAATATATGCGAGCCGGTTACTTTGAAAGCAGTTTAAGCATAATGCTAAAGGGTTCGACAGGTAAACACGAATGCTAAGTGACGATGTCCTTTTTTGGAAACTTGATTTAGTCTACTTTCAAAATTGATGGCTCGATGCAAATATAAATCAGAGTTTCCCAAAAAGTTATATATGTATCACATTTGAAAAAAAATATTAGATTTATCAGTTATTTAAAGATAAAAGAAAAAATCATTGAATAAGGAGTTCATTTTATGCTTATTAAAGATGTGCTAAAAAGTCATATACATACAATATTAATATAAATTAAAAAATTCTGAATTCTTATTTCACTTTGAAAAACAATGGCACATATATTTGTGTGCGGAGTATAATTAGTTAATTATTATTGATAAAGGCATAATTATAATATTTTATTCTTCTAATAGCAATAATAGTTAGCAAAATATTTGTTACCTAAAAAAATTGTTAAATATTGTAAGAGAACATTGTGTTCTCTTTTTCTCTTTTTTTCTGCAATTAGATAATTAATTTATAGATTTTTCAGCCATTTAATAATTGAAAGTAATTAAAACTGATAGAATGAAAGTTGTAACATAAATTTTCTAATGTCTCTCTGCATTGAATTCCTTTTATATAGAGAAAAAAAAACGAGAGAAGGAAATTATATAATAATGTCTCTTTCTCTTTGTAATTCTTATTTCTGTTGCAGCTAATATTAAAAAATACTTGACCATTAATTATTAAATAATTAAACTGAAATAGCATATTATTCTTGTATATAGACAAGTAGAGGCAAGTTTTCTGAAAAATGTTAAGTTTTTGTTTTTTCTATTTGATGTTTTAGCTCTTTGTTGTTACATAAGATTGTTAACGTCGTAGTGTTATTTTTTAATAAAACATTTATATGCGTTATCAGCGGCTTTTTCATTCTCCATGTTGAGTGTTATCAAAATCGCATGAAATATTTATTTTGTAGCCATAAATATTCAGTTGCGACATTTTTTATTAAGCAGGTGTAAAGTAGCAGTTGTAACTCGGACATACTCAACGGGATCGTTTATGTATGTATGTGTATACGGTATATGTTCCATACGGCGTGTGCTCTGCATGCAAATTCCATTAATCGCGTGTTTAACGTGTCCTCGTTCTCCATTTAATGGACATTTCACCGCCGCCGCGTTCATGTAACCATTTCTCATAATACAGCTTTAAATTTCCCTTTCGCGCTCGTGAATTATACAATTTCTTTCTCGTTTTGTAATCCCCGTAATTTTCGTAAAAGATTGTTTATGTATTCAAAAACTTAATTTGCTCGACCAATTCCCGTTTCCAGTTATTTTATTGCATTGATTTACTCAGTGTTGATTAGCTCACACAAAACTGCTCTCAATACCTTGCGTACTTAATACTGATAATTGTAAATAGAAAAGATTATACATATGCTTACAGTATCTTTTTTCAATATCAATATCGTCATTATTTTTTTGCATGCAATAGCTTCATTAACGACATGAAGAAAACCAATATTTTTTCCACAATTTTTATTAAAAACAGAATATTATTATTATTATTATTATGAATAATAAGAGGGGATAAAGATATACGATCTCTTTGTAGGAAAAGAATTTATTTCAATGATGAACAATTAGCATAATGAAATTATAGGTAGAAACATAGACTTAAATAGTCTAACACTTGATGACGCGAGCACCATCCGTCCGCATTTTCTTGCAAAAATGTCTTTCTCTCTTTTTTTTTTTCTATTTAAAATTAGAGGACGCTCTTCATCTCGAGACATTTGTCCCATCTTCTTTTCTCTCTACGATGAAAGTCCCAAAGAAATGCCACATGAAAAACCCGCAAAA